GAAATTTTCAAACTTGTATTGGAATTTAAGACACCAAAACAATTACAGCTCTCAGTGATATCATGACATAAGGCATTTTCTTTTGGAGTAATAATAATATTTTGTCCTAATTCCAGTGTCATTTATTATTTTTTTTTAATGGCTTCAGAAAGTACAACTTAATTACGGAGTACCAAAAACATAAAAATACAAAAAAAGAAAAGAGTAGAATAATAAATAGAGACAGAAGGTCCAGATGGGCTGGTTGATTCGAGAAATGGGGAGCACGTGACCACGTGGCAGAGGGCCCACCGATGTAGGTTGCAGTGCCGTGCCAGCAGACTGATCATCGCAGCCGTCAACATCAGTGACAGCTGGCCGACTGATTAAACAACTGGCATTGCACTACTCGACCAAATGTATAGTAGTAGTGCCTTTACTTGTCAGATTATTGATTACCTCACCCATACCCCAGCTTGCCAGCTCATCCCCCGCCACTTCTTTAACCGCCACCTGGCACCAATTGCTCCACTTCAAATATATATATATATATATATATCTTATCTTTTAGTAATTTATTTATTTATTTTGAGTTGGCAGTTACAAGTTAGCAAAGCTTACTCTAATTCCAAACTTGGCTTTTATATTTACTCCCCACTTTTCTAAAAAAAAGATTTAATTAAAAAATATATTATTATTTTTTTATTTCATAAAGGAAGAGTAAATTTAAAAAGTCATTTCCTACTGTTGTTAATGTGGATTAATAATAAATTAATATGTGATTTTTAATTACCAAATCAAAGATGGTAGATAGATATTCAGTTACCAAATCAGAGATAGTGATTTGATTACCATTTTTTATTTGGTAATTAAAATAGGATGTGTCCATTTATTATTAGTCCACATCGGTGAGTATGTTTTAAATTCTACTAGTGAGGACCTAAGAGCATTTCTAACAGTATGTTAAAATACTCTTTTGTGTAAAATATACACTGCCACCTATGATGTGTAAATTTTTTTCATCTTAGATATATTGCCACATCACCAATCAATATATTTCCTTTTTCATCCCTCTTTTTCATTCCATTAAAGAATCAACCATATACTATTAAGTAGGTTTCTAAAAATTATGTGGGGTTCTAGTATGAGATATATTTTTACACAAAATATATAAAATAACTGTTAGAGCTAAAATTAAATAATTCAAAATTTTTGTGTAAATCCATTGTAGCACATCAGATTTACAAAAAAAAAAATATATGCACGACGGTTGGAGATGCTCTAAGTATTGTCCTATATAAAATGATCAAAAAGGTTAAAAACTAGTAAAGAAAAAAAAAGTAGTGATACTTACATCGAACACGGTAGTGAATTGTCTAATCAAATAATTTTTAATTGGTTATTTATATTAAATATAACCGCGTGCAGAATTTCACTTCCTTATTTGTTATATAATTGACCAATTAAAAAAATAGGCCTAACAATTCCATTACAGTTATTCCATATAAGAATCATTTTCCCAAAAAAAAAAAAACAAGTGTTTAATATATCACATTTTGGTCTATTTGATAGAGGTTGACTATTTTCATATTAACATTTGAATTTTTATTCTTACAGGTTTTCGAAAAGTGTTATATTCTTACAGTTGAGAATATGAACGTTAGACGATTAACTAAGCAATGCTGTCATAGTAAATGAAATGAATTCATATATATTTTTGACTTTTTTTTTTTTTTCTACGGAATATAATAACTTAATCAAATATCAATAAAACAAAATCAAATGAAATCAAAGAGATCCATTAGATATTTACTAGTGGCATTATTTAATATGACTTTTGTTTTACCGCCCTTATATTATATTAACGGGTTATTCATGGTGATCATCTTTGCCTTTTTTTTTGTTTATTCTTTCCTATTACATGTTATGTCTTTTATATTTAATTTCTTAAAATCATTTTTAATAAGTTTTATTGAAGCAAGTGGGTCATCATATATAGCATTGGCTATTAAATATCCTGCAAATCTTTAGTTGCTTCTCTAATTATAATTTATTCTCACAATGATTAATATTGTATTTTTTTAATAAGCATTAGTTTATTGATACACTTTATCACTAGGTCAGAATTGTAAATCTAACAGTTTTTTTTTTTTTTTTTTTGGTGGTATTCATACACACATATCTCTATTAAAAGTCAAACCTTTAATACCTCTCTAAGAATTAGGGATATGATACAACTAAATCATTAATCTATTAATAATTCGAATAAATTTATATGGCTCTCGTCAAACTCAGACATTGGGGTAATACCATGAAGAGGTTGAATAATTTCCATTATCATAGTAAAGTCATAATCTAGTTTTGGTCTTCACAGATTTAAGCTCTTACATTGTATTGTATAATGTCACCACTCTCAAATTCAAACTCTCAATAATCCCAACTTTAATCATACCACCAAATAATAATTTTTTATTTTATTTTTTAAAGTGCAAACATCGAATTTGAATAGTCAAATTGTCTTGTAATTAATTTAAATGGTGACTATTCAATTTTCGATGAGCGTCCAAATGCAATGGTTCAACATCTCATAAATTGTTGATAACATTCTTACCATGATTTTACATTAAAATCAAAACAAATTTCAAGTCCTAAAGATTTAAAGCAGACAGTTGTTTTCAACTGTAATTAATTTTATTATTGTAGATATATACACTATATATATATGGTATATATTTGGTAGGAAAATAATTTTAAATTCGATGAGTTGTAATGAATTGTTCAACAAAATAGTTTTGATTGGTTAAGTATGTATAATATAAGGAAGTGGGATGTAAAGGTGACCGTGATTGGTTAAGTATGAATAATATAAGGAAGTGGGATGTAAAGGTGACCGATTAATGTTATTCGGTCAAGAAATTCTCCTTAACAGATCCGTCTATGTATCACAACTATGTTTGGTTGTTAAACAATTTGTTGTTAATAAATGGGGTCTCTTATCTACCTGCATGGAGAAAATTTTTGGGTCGCCAGTTGCACCGTGTAACGGGCGCATTTGGACTGTCCGTATAATACCCGTGTATGTAAAACAAGCACGATAAAGAACGGTCAGATGCGTCCGTTATATGGTGCAATGGGCGTAACAATGTTACCAAGCAAAGTGAATTTTTTTTAAGAGTAACTTCAAGAGATCAATTTGAACGCCCAATCTCTAAGAGGTGAAGTGAGAGTCTTGTCATTAAGCTATCATCTTAAAATTTCATTTAAAGCATATAACACATAATTGTAAATATGCATATTAGTATCAACATAATAATGTTTATGCAATTTAATGGAAATAATAACAAGAAGAAGAAGTCAAGATTAAACAATTTTCACAATAATACTAACATTGAAACCTAAAGTAACCTGTTTTTTCAATCCTTTTCCACTACACTTTAGCATCACTAGTGAATCATTCTAATATCAACCACTCAAGTAGTGCAATTCAATCCTTTACAATGTCACTTCAACATCATTTATATATATCACTCAAGATGTTCATACAATTCAATAAATTGAATTTCAAATAGTGTAAAGTTTAAATTTCAAATAGTGTAAAGTTTAACTTGTATAAATGAATTTATATGCATTGTGTCTCAACTCACAAGCAAATTCTATGACAAAGACCACAACACAAAAGAAACAACTTAGAAAAAGAAACAACTTTTGAAGTGGCACAACCTTATGTACTAAGCAAATACTATATAATTGCAACTACCAACTATATAAACCTAACAACAACAAAAGAACATGTCACAAACACATACAGTGCACATATCCCACATTTTATAGTGACTAATTTAATTGCAAAGTGCAACTACTACTCTATGTACATCTACAATTATATGGTACATACTAACATATAATTATATTTTTTTTATTCAAACTTTACATTAACAATTGGAATGACGAACTTTGAGTTCTAAAATAAATGAATTGGAAAAGATATATTCTTTGATTTCGGAGTACGTCGATAATACGGTTGTTTATTGATTAGGGTACTATATAGTAAATATTTTAAAATATTAGATATTTTCTTTGACTGAGAATTATGTAAGTGGAGAGGTGGTGTCATGTGGTGAGGCCCATACTTCCTCTCACATATGTTTGATATGATGTATCATGGTTTATTATTGGAATGAATAAAGAGTAATGATAGAAAATTTGACAATTGAACAAATTTAAAATAATTATTAGGCGTGAGTTCCACTAGCGAGTCACCATAATAACTACATCAGTGGTGAGACTTAGGCCTGCCTCACTAACAGATCCATTCGTGAATTCTAATAGCCGAGTCACTGTAATAAGGAAGCATTAATGATGGGACTCATGGCTCACTCACAAGAGTAAGGAGAATACATTTGGTGTGCCCCGTGCCTCATACATCGGCCTATCAGAACCGTCCGTTTCCGTATATGTTGTGCACGGGCGACTCTAATGTGCATGTGCCTGATGTACGATGCACATAGCACACCGAATACTTCTTCAAAATAGATCCATTCGGGTTTGTCTACAGTCTCCAAATCATTTTCCGCTAATAAAACTAAAAATGGAATTAATCTGACCGAATTACAAATTCCAAAAAACTGTGCTGATTTCATGGTATTTAAAATTTACTTTAACTAAAATTGGCAAGTTACGGAGTATTCAATTTGATTTACATTTTAATTCTTAAATTCCAATTTACTCGAAACATACAACTAAGATTTTAATTTAAATTAAATTTGATTTACATTTTAATTCTTAAATTCCAATTTACTCGAAACATACAACTGAGATTTTAATTTAAATCCAATCATTTTTACTTTTTCCAATATATATATTTTTAGTTAAATACTTTTTCCAATAATTGGTCTCAAGCAAGTGTAAAAAATTCAACTCACAACCCTCCACACGCGATTCCAAGGCGCGTGTAATAAAAACCACAGCGCACAGTATACTCTCTCTTTCTATGCTTGCAGTTTGCCTCTCTGTATAAAACCGCCCCTGCCTTCCACCATAACTCACTGAAGAGAGAGAAAGTAAGAGGAGGAGGAGAGGGAGAATATAAAATCTTACTTAACTCACACATATTCTTACTCACTTTCTCTCTCTATATCTCTTATATTTCTCACTCTCTGTTATATAACGGAAAACCGTGTTTGGTTTGAAGGAAAATAGCAACACGGTGTTTACATTTATATACATATGTATTGACATTTCTACGTACTTAATAGTCCCTTAAACCCTTTCTCTCTCTAGAACTATCCATTTCTCTTTCCTTCTTTCCTTTTCAATACAATGCAATAACAACATCAATATATAAGTTCACATCTCAAGACCAGAGCAATTGTTTTCAAGAACCCAAAACCTCACCGTCTGAATCAGACGGTCACAATGCTTTTTCATTTTCGTTCTCGCTTTCGATCAATCTCTGCCCTTCTTTTCCTCTACTGTGTATGTTTATGGCCGTTGATGTGTCTTGGAATTCGCACCTTCCCCAACTCCGGCGAGGGGGCGGAATCGGTGTTTCGCAGACTGTCCCGGTTCGCCGAGGCGCCGGAGTACCGTAACGGCGTGGGCTGCCCCGTGTCGTCCAACACCGAATCGGTGTCGTCGTGTGACCCGTCGCTGGTTCACGTCGCGATGACTCTTGACTCCGAGTACCTCCGGGGGTCCGTGGCGGCGGTCCACTCCGTCCTCCGCCACGCGTCCTGCCCGGAGAACGTGTTCTTCCACTTCATCGCCGCCGAGTTCGACGCGGTGAGTCCCCGAATCCTGACCCGGCTCGTCCGATCCACGTTCCCGTCGCTCAACTTCAAGGTCTACATCTTCCGGGAAGACACCGTCATCAACCTCATCTCGTCGTCGATCCGCCAAGCCCTGGAAAACCCGCTCAACTACGCCCGGAACTACCTCGGCGACATTCTTGACCACTGTGTCAACCGAGTCATCTACCTCGACTCGGACGTCATCCTCGTCGACGACATACACCGGCTCTGGAACATCACGCTGACCGGGTCACGGGTCATCGGAGCACCCGAGTACTGCAACGCCAACTTCACAAAGTACTTCACGGACTCGTTCTGGTCCGACCCGGTGCTCTGCCGGGTATTCGGGTGGAGGAACCCGTGTTATTTCAACACGGGCGTGATGGTAATGGATCTGGGGAAATGGAGGGAAGGGAATTACCGGAGGAAAATCGAGAACTGGATGGAATTGCAGAGGAAAAGGAGGATCTATGAATTGGGTTCATTGCCTCCGTTTTTGCTGGTGTTTGGTGGCAACATCGAGGCCGTTGATCACAGATGGAATCAACATGGGCTTGGTGGGGACAATGTGAAGGGGAGCTGTAGGTCTCTGCATCCGGGTCCAGTGAGCTTGCTTCACTGGAGTGGGAAGGGGAAGCCTTGGGTTAGGCTTGATCAGAATAAACCGTGTCCGTTGGATTATCTCTGGGGACCGTATGATCTATACAAGCACAATCACCACAGTAGATTCAAGCAGCAGCATCATCATCAGCCGTTGGGTTTGTCGACTGATTCGAATATGATTGGGTATTCCAATTATTTCATTTGATGATTTTTTTTTTTTTAATTATTATTTTTTAATTTTTACATGGTGATTCAAGATTCTTTGATAGCTGTGTACAGAATTTACAGATTGATTGGTGGGGGTTAATTCTTTTTACCTGAATTAGATGTATTTTTTTGATTTTATTGGGTTTTTTTTTTTTTTTTTTTAATGTCAATTATTGGAGTTTCTCTTGATAGGAACAATTTTGGTTGATCCGTTTGTAACTTTGCAGATATAACAAATGTTCTTTGGACAAATGTTTTCTTTTTACATTATTTTTAGTAGTTTGGACAATGACTAATGAGATAACGTGCCGAGGACACAGTCTAGGATGCTATTCATCCTTATTTTAAATTTCAATTAAAACGCATGTTTAACATTTTTTTCTTAGCAAATTAGGCTGGGGACTCCAATACGGGCAGAGGTCTCGAATTCTCTTTTAACAATGAATGATTAAAATTCGAGTGTAAAATGATTTGTATATCATTTGGTGTGTCAAAAAAAGTTTCAAGATTTGAAACGATACGATTTTAGTTGACCACTAACTAACACACAAACAAATATACGTGTGTCAGCTATTTACATCATTTCTCTCAAATGAGTGCTTTGTTTTGCACTAAAAACTCTCAAATAACACTTTTATGTTTTGATGCCCTAAAAAGGGTTTCGAAATTTAGAATAATATAATTTTAGTCAATCACTAGTTAATACACAAGCAAATGTGTGTTAGCTAGTGACATCATTGATATGATTTTAATCGATTACTAAATAACATATAAGGAAATTCATAGAGATATGGTTTTTAGTCCGTCACTAACTAACACAAGCAAATACGTGTGTTAGCTAGGGACTTCGTTTCTCCCCTATGACACGGTCTTGTTTGGTAGTTTGTTGAGTGCACCAAATGGTTGACAAATCCTCTTGTCGTTGCTTTTTTTGAGTGCTGCACCAAATGGTATAAAAATCGTCTTTGCATATATAATCGGTTTGTAACTTTGAATATATAACAAATGTTCTTTGGACAAATGTTTTCTTTTTACATTATTTTTAGTAGAATGTTCTTTGGACAAATGTTTTCTTGTTACATTATTTTTAGTAGTTTGGATAATGACTAATTAGATACTGTGTCGAGGACACACTTTAGGTGTCTTTATGAAGGATGCTATTCATCCTTATTGAGTGTTACCAACTACGTATTTTAAATTTCAATTAAAATGCATGTTTAACATTTTTTCTTGGCAAATGAGGGTGGGGGACTATAATACGGGTAATCGTCTCGAATCATCTTTTAACAGTGAACAGTTAAAAATTCAGATCATAATAAAATTGTCTCGAATCCTTTTTAAACAGTGAACAGTTAAAATTCGATTGTTTGATTGATATTATAATAAAATGATTTATATATCATTCGGTGCATCCAAATGCACCAAAAAAGGTTTCGAGATTCGAAACAATATGATTTTAGTCAATCACTAACTAACACATTAGCAAATACACGTGTCAACTAATTACATCATTTCTCTCAAACGAGTTCTTTGTTTTTAATGACGCCGCTATGTTTTGATGCACTAAAAATGGCTGACATAGTTTTAGTCAATCAATAGCTAACACACAAGCAAATATGTGTGTTAGCTAGTGACATCATTTCTTTCAAAGGACATCGTTTTGGAATTTGGAGCAATATGTCAAAATGTCGAAAACTGTTTTGAAATTCGGAACAATATAGTTTTAATCAATCACCATGTAACATACAAATAAATACGTGTTTGCTAGTTACATCATTTCTTCCTAATAACATGTTTAAGGGTTTCGAAATTCATAACGAAATGGTTTTAATCGGTCCCTAACTAACACACAAGCAAATACGTGTGTTAGCTAGTGACATCATTTCTCCCCCTATGACATGGTCCTGTTTGGTTGCTTGTTGAGTGCACCAAATGGTAGACAAATCCTCTTTTCGTTGCTTTTTTGAGTGCTGCACCAAACGGTATAAAAATCCTCTTTGCAAACATGTATCGAATATTCTCAGATATTTTTCATTGGCGGCCCAACTAAATACTAGGTAATTAAGGGAACAAATAATAATTTGGTGTTATTAACACAAATGTTTTGAATTATAGGTGACAATGATTGACAAGTAAATAATAATATAATAAATTATTGAAAAAAGGAAGAGTAATTTGAAATGGTCCAGCTCACGGAATTTTCTTGTTGCTTCGCCCCAAAGCTATATGTATTCAACATCGTTGAAGCTTCTATTCTATGCCTTGTTGAACTTTTCCTTTATGCCCACGTAGTGCTCGTGGAAGCTTCAGGAGTTTTCTACTGTTTTTGCCTCTACTTCAGATATTATGGGTTCCCATTTGGTTGGCCGCCAAACCAATAGTATAAACCTTTGGGAGGTGAGAAAATGAAACACGTTCAATGTTTATTAGTTTGATCATCTACAAAATTTGTCATTTGTATTTAACGATATTTTTTAAACAAATTTTATAAAACGATAATTTTGTTCTAAGTCACACAATCTTTCTTTACAGGTGTCGCTCTCACGCTTCATTTACTCTTACTCAAATTCACTGTTTATGACTAAATTCCGTTACTCTTACGCTCATGCTCTCGACATCAAGATACAATGCCACGAAGAACCATACAAATAATATGTATATTGTAAGGAGTTTTGTGATTCAATAATGCTGCAGATATGTATATATATATTTTTTCCAATTTGGGATCTCTAACAAACAGCTAACACACACACACTCTGTTTTCTTATAGATTCAAAATTGAATAACTTAATTTTCAACCTAGTAGCAATTATTTCCTTTTCCCCTATATTATATTATTAATTAATACATACGATTACATGATTGAATTTGGTCAAATATGATATGATCACATGCCTTTAAAAAGTTTATTTTTGTTGTATAAAAAAAGTTTAAACTAAGGCGACAATCAGGGAATCAGATTCGGAGGAGATGATTGGGTTTCCAAAGACTTGCCTTATTGGCAATGTCAAACGGTTGCCCAACTTCACAACTCATTGGATTCATTTTTCTTCAACATTCAGAACATTCATCTCCCTTTATTTTATTACTGTTTGGATCTCAAGAAAATCTTAAGAAATACAACCGACAGTAGTCCAGCAATACTAAATCCTAAAAGAGAGATTAGAGATTCGAGCCGAGGTATGAGTGTGAAACCAACTAAAAAACAAAAATTGATTTATGTTTCTCTCTTTCCTTTTTTAGCCCCCATGTTGCCACACCGAATCGACATAGACGTAAAAAAGAGGATCCTAATATCCTATCAACTTGTTTCGACCTAGGAGCATTTTTTTTTATAAGGTAAGAACAATTAGAAATTAGATGCAGAGAATCAAGAACAGTTTGAAGACACTAATCGACTGGGCTATCGAGACACATGCATTTATGGTCCATAATTCCAAAATTATTTGAACATTGACAAGACAAACATCAATTTTCCAAATCCAAGAATAAACAATGAAGACTGCACCAGCACAACCGTGAAATTTGTGGGCCCCACAAGATTTACAGTCGGGACTGCGCTTAGGGCAACTCATAAATAATATACATTAAACTGAAAAAAAAATAGTAAAAAAAAATAGTAAATATAACCATTTGGTTTCGAATCATATTATTTTTTCCGGTCACCCTCCGAGGTTCCTCCGAATTCTCGCAACATCTTGACCGCTTATTTGAAATGCCTTCATCAGAACATCATCGGGCAATGCGGGTTTCGATGCGAATGTTGAGATGGATGTGAATTGAGAACCGGGGTTTTGGCTACTGAACCCAGACACTAATAGTGCTGGGTTTTTGGGGTCAAAATTAAAGAGAAAATGGACCAAAGCTTTTGGGAACACAAATGAATCACCAGGCCTTAGCTGTTGTGTAAATAGCCTGTTAGAGGTATCAACAAAGCCCGCAAGAAGTGTAGTACCCTTGAGCATAGTGGTCACCTCCGAGGCCCGTGGATGCGAGTGCGGCGGCACGAGCCCATTAGCCGCTATATCGATCCGAGACATGGCTAAGCCCAGTGTGTTGAGCCCAGGGAGATTTTGGGTGTTTGTGAAAGTGGAATTGTAGCCGAACGGGTTGGCCCGGGTGTTACCGGGCTTGGACAATGCAGAAGTGGCAAAATGGTTAGAGACTGCTAGGGTTGGGTTGATGCATGGTACACCATTCATGAAGAAAGTTTGAGGGGTTTTGGTATCTGCAATGCAGTAGTCTTGGAGTGGGTCCGGGTCGGGTTTGACAACACCCGATAGAAGAACTAGGCTGAGGAAGAACTGGAGCAGGAAAGGACTGGTTTTCATTCTTCCCTAATGGTGAAATTAACAAGGAATTTGGGTTTGGAGATCTGAATTTGGAAAAACTAGTAGAAGAACTTATATATATATATAGAGTACATGTTGTATTATAAAAAAATATATGTCCATATTGGGGTGGGGTTAGAGTAGCTTAAGAGCATAACAGAATAAAGAAACAAGGCAAGCTATAGGCATTAAAAAGGGGTTTGGTAAAGACCAAAAAGTCAAAATATGAAGAAAAGTGTGATCAAGTAACAAGAAAATTACATAATCTGATGACGTGTAAAAATCAGATTGGTTGGTTTTTAAGAATGCTCTGTGATCTGATCTTGAAGTAATCTTTGGTGGATCAATCTTAGCATATGACAGTCATTTCCCATCTTGAGAAATGACAACCAATAAAAATTGATTTGGACATGATCAACATGGTGCGTTACTAGTATTACAACAACATCGACCATTTTTTTAATTATTTGGAACTGATTACACGTACTGTTCTATTTAAGGAAATAGCCTCGACTCTGTTTAAGAACATAGCCTCGGTCAATATTTGTACATGAGTTTTAAATTCAAATGAACAATACATGGTGTAATAATAAAACTTCAAATGAATAAGTGTAATGTCATCTGTTGAATTATTTAAAGTATGACACTAATCACTTCGTATAAAATAAAATCAAAAGTTAAGTATGACTATCATACATTAATCACTTCGTATAAAATAATATCAAAAGTTAAGTTTGACCATCGTATCTGCGACCGCGAGAAATGCATGCACCTCTTCTTTGAATTAGGATAATTTTGGCTTATGCAGTTTTTATTTATCTTCCTATTATATGATTATTTTTGGTCTTTTAGTGTGGTTCATGAATTGATTGAATGTCAATGTTTGTTACAGGCAATGATGTGTATAATTGAACCTTTGGTACAATGAGAAATAATCAGTAAATGAATCAGTGGTAGAAGCACTAAATTTTGAAAATTTTGGCCTATTGTCAGTTAAAAATGATCATTAAAGCCTAACCTAATAATCCAACCACATTTCTAGGGCATTGATTCTCGTTGGATTGGATGGATGAAGAGATATACTAGGAATTAAGGCCACAAGTTGGAGTACTATAAAAGACATCAATTCAAGGCTGGCAAAACTAAAAATGCTAAATGTTCTTATGTCCCATTGTCACTTTCTAACACTGAGTTAACATGATACATATATCATATATGTATAATTATTTGTACCAGGACAGTAAAGTAAGACTCGGTATATTTGCACAGGCTACTTGTTTAATAATAATATAAAAAAAAAGAAAATTAAATATGATTAAAATTGTAACATTTTCATACAAATTATCATGGTTTGGAATTATCTTTTTTGTTTTGACTTATGATTGATTTCCAGTTCACAATTGCAATTATTGAGAGATTTGTATTATCTTAATCTCTAATTTCTTTCTGACAAGAAAATCAAGACTCTTTTATATTAAAATTCGGAAAAGATTGATTTACATTATGATTATCCCTTCCAAAGAAAGAGAGCTTCTCTTTTGACACATTTAAGTGGAATTTATTTGGACCTCATTTAAGTGCATTCAAGAGAACCCTGTACAACTCGATCTTTCAACGCTCTTAAATTAATTATGTTCGAACGATGTATCGTCACGTGGAAACTTCTAATACTGAACTACCATAGAACCATTTCACCAACATTGAGGAGTCATCATCATTTTTTCTAATAGTGGTTGGAAACAGTGGGAAAAAAGCTTTTATATATCCTTCACTCTTTTGGTTCTTGTGCTTTCTTTAAAAAACTAATGGTGTTATTATAATTGCAAAGAACAATTAGCTTTAAACATAGAACTCAACTACCACTAGTGTTATTCAAGTCATTGGTGTTGGTGGTGATTGGAGTGGAGAGATAATTGATGTCTTGCTCAAGGATGAGCCTATTGTCCATAGTTAGTGGGCATCAGTCCAATTAAGTAGGTCACCATAAAGATGATGGTCTGTCATGAAAATTCTATGCTTGTTAGGTAATGGAGATTAGAGTCCTCTTGTCCATTTTGGAATTTGCATTTCATAACTTCTGAAAGAATTCAACTTGAAGCATGGAGGAATGTATGAAATTAATTATCCGCACGACATAAGCAACTTTTCGAAAAGTAATGTTATTCATGTTGAAGAGTTTGAACAAAATGGAGAGTCGAAGGCTCCCCATTCAATAGATATCCAACTGAACCCCACATCATTCCTAGTTGACTGTGTCTAATGTATGGAGGTTAGAGTCCTCTTGTCCATTTTGGAATTTGCATTTCATAACTTCTGAAAGAATTTAACTTGATGTATGGAGGAATATATGAAATTAATTATTCGCGTGATGTAAGCAACTTTCTGAAAAGTAATGCAATTCACACTAAAAAGTTTGAACCAAATAAAGAGTCGAAGGTTTCTCATTCAATAGATACTCAACTGGACCCCACATCACTCCTAGTTGAGTGTCTCTAATGTATGGAGAGTTCAAACTCTGACTTTAAAATCACTTTCTGAAATAGTGGCTTCTAAGTAACCTTGAATGATAATAAATCTTCAGAATTATACTATCATGTTCCTATTTTGAAAATCTTAGCAACTTTATAGAGTGAGAATTGGGATTTCTATCTTTGGAAAATTATTTGTGCTCTTGTGCTTGTCTTGCAAATATATTATTAATGTTGACAAAATCCTCTTGTCTTGCACAATTATACAAAGAGAAAAAGTTGAGAAATGTCACAATTATAATATCTGTGCATTATATAGACAATAGTCAAACTATATGGAGAGCATGAAATTCCTGTGACCTGCACCTTAATATATTATATTATGTTAGATTTATAGGTTGTGGTTATGGAAGGACCGTTGTTTGGTTCTTCCATTCTTAACTTGGATTAATTATGTGGCATTTGATTAGTTCAAAGATTACAAAAAACCATTTAAACTCTTTTTATAATTCTTGTTTTGTCATTTTCATCTGTTGTATCATTGGACTTGGGATCTTCTTTTTTGTAGTTCTAAATTTTGATATTCTATTTTAGACAATTTAGTGGATAACTGATCTCATCTTCTGAAGGTGACAACTTACAGTAACCACCCTGGATGATACTAAAATTTGGCCTATTAAAAATCATGTGCCACAACATTCATATTTCTGTCTTCTAACAGTTTTTTTTTTTTTTTTTTTTCCTAACTAAATGTTTACAATTCTGTTTTGTGATGCATAAAGATATGTAGAACTTTTTTCCAGCAAAATACATAAAAAAATTTTATGTCACCTGCATGATTCATCTACAATCCATAGTCCATTACATATATGTATATTTTACCTTTGTCAATATTGAGAAATTCTCTAGCAAACTAAGATGTCACTAGTTGAATTGGCAACAGTTCACAAGCTCTTCCCACTTTTGTTCTTGATCACATTTCTCTTTGATTGCTGCATGTTTAGAGCTTGAATAAATCATAAATTCATATAAGAATACATACTAACATTTTGAAAAAGAATCAAGACATATAATCAAGTTATGTTTGTATACCTCAGAGTTCACAATTCTCTCATTTTCATCTATGTACAGTACTTTACCGGTAAATGAGGCCTATTCAGGAATCCCCATCTGAACCACTATAGCTGCTCTTCGACTTATCTGACATGAAATTAGCCGGCAATTTAGGGAACTTTACTGAGATCCTGGATGCTGATGACTCCGGTGATGATGATCCGAGACCTCCTGTTCTTGTCCTCCTCTTTTGCAGATTACGAGTAATATCAATGCAGACCTGATCAACCATTCCTAAGAAATCTTTAACTATAACAAATAATTGGAGTGTGTTTGCCCCTTTATCATTTGCAGCTCCTGCTTGATAATACTCAGTTGTTCTCTTTACAAGCTCCATCACCTTGATTTGCTCTTCTTTCACTACCATTAGTTCGTCTTCAGTAGCTTCAAGAAAAACTTTCATCTCTCTCACAAATCCTCCTCCATTGGTCTCACACTGTGCCACAAGCTGCCTAATTTCATTGACACGAGCTGTGAGAGCCGTGCACGCCTTTGCAAAGGCCTCATAGTCTATAGCGGCTGCTTTCTTTACATTAGAAAACTCGGAACTAAGACCTCCAACAACCGGTAATCCAAGCAATGTGTATTCCTTCTCTCTTTCGTCGTTTGACATTGGGTTGTCTAAGTTTGGGGCACTAGTGTTGCTGCTTCTGCTGTTATTCCTATTCAAGCTGCGGTTTTTATTGAGCACACAACGCTTTCCCTCAGACCGGACTACTTCTTCCACCACAAATCGAAGCAGAGTGGTTTTCCCATCAGTGCTTTTAACATCGGAGAGTTTTCTAAGAGCAGTGAGGTTGAAAGCTTGTGCATTGCCTCGTGAAGTTCCTGCATTCATCCGATTGCCAGCCTTGAGGATGGCCTCTAAGAGTTTCAAGAAGAGTCCGCGAGTCTTGAGCTCCTTGCAGCCCAATTCAAGTGTTTGTATAGATTCTTTGAGGTGGAGAATCTCCGAGTCATAATTTGATCTGAAAAACATGGCGTTGAAATGAGTAAAAGCTGATGGAATGGCTCTGAGAAGGTGGTAGAGGAAGGATTCAGCATCAGCAAGCCTCGCGGGGTCTCCTTCAAACGCGAGGATTTCAGATTCCTCTTCTTTTGTAGGGGCTATTTTGGTGAGCTTTTCAAGAATGTCCACGCATAGACCTTGGCCTTCCATGAGCGCGTTGATTATGTCTTGGCGAGAAATGGATAGGGACCGGAGCACAATTGCTGTGTTCTGTGACTTTCGAGCATCAAGGATGGAAACTTGAGAGGTTGGACTTGCTCTGCCACTATTTGGACTCAATGAGTTGCTGTCTCTTCGAGGGGATTTTTTGTTGGTGGCAACGTATCCAAAGAGGGCTTCCATAAGATCACCATCAAATCTGAATTGGAAAATCAACAAATTTTGACAAAAACAGTAAATCAAAGAGGTGGTGCTGCAAAAAATTTGAGAAAAAATCCATATCTTGCAGAAGATTATTACCTGAAAGAACCAGCATCAATTTTGTCCCAAACCATTGAATGATTAACATTAGCATTCACCTTATCCCAATGCAAGGGCTTCAGTTTAACCTGACCATTTCCGGATGAAGACTCACCTTGTTTATCATCACCTATGAGAATTGGTGGTGGTTTTGAGGATGATGTCAAACCACCTGCCTTTGGCGGTGGTGGCGGTGGCGGTGCAGGACTTTTCTTTACCAGGATTGGTGGAGGAGGGGGAGGTGGTGGAGGACTTTTTGTTTTTGGAATTGCCAACAGAGGTTTAGGTGCCGGTGGTTCAGGAGGCGGTGAAGGTGGTGAGGAACCCCTTGTAGCTTGATTCGAGTCTTCCAATTCAGGCCAAACTTGATTGTTGGAAGTCGAAGACTTGCCTCTAAGCAAGGGCATTTCTTGTATGGGAGGCTCGGATTTCTTGCTTCGATTGCCTCTACTCATCATCCTTTTGACTTCTTTACCTTCATTTTTGGTCCCCTTGAAGGCCTCTTTATTGAAACTGTTCTTGTTGTTAGCACCTTCAAGTTTTCTCCAATAAATCACATCCAAACCATCCTCATCCACAATCATCCCCTTGAGATTTCCATTGAATCGCGTGAATTCATCGCGAGCCACCACTGCTGCAGGCTCAACCCCATGGGAACTAGTATTAGTGCCACCAACTTTCTTCCTCCTATGCCGCGCGTAGCTCAGGAGCAAGAAGAAAAATAGGCCGGATATGACTATAGTGCTTGCCGCGGTTGCTACTACTGCTATAATAACAGCCTTCTTTGTTGATGACTTTGAAGGTGTTTGTTGCGGTGGTGGTGGCAGGAGAGTCAGTTGTGGCGGCGGCGGTGGATTTATTGGCAGCGAGGAAGAGGGGATGGACTGATTGTTAGGAGAATTTGGCGTTGAGGGAATAGGTGGAAGCAAAAATGGATAGAAAGTTTCAATGTTTTGGGGAGAATTCGACTGACCGGAAGAGAGAGAACTAATGGTGGAAATGGAGAAAACAAAGAATAGGCCGAGAACTATCCGTTGCCGGAACATTGAAGCCATGAAAGTCTGAACAAATTTGTAGAGAGGTTTGAAACTGAATCAATTGTTCTTTTCTGTATTTTGGGCATACTGTAAGTTTAATGTCTAAGGGGGTGTGCTTTTGGTTTTGGTGTAGTTTGGTTGCTGACACTTTCAAAGGAGAGCAGTTAGTTGTTTATGATTTTAAGCCTTCCCGGGCGTTTTGTTTGAAATGACTAATATACCCTCATCTTAGTATTAAATTTTAACAGCATATTAGGGGCAATTTGGTACCTTAATTGATTAATAAATTGAGCTGGGCAGCAGAAGCTAGATGGCTTTACCCTTTCCAACTCGAAACTCTATCACCATAGACAAAAAGGTTGAATTGGTAGATCTTCAATAATAATTTTTTATGTTGTATTAGTGAATATGGTAATGATATCTATATTTTATAATTATAATATATACTATTAATTCGAGATTAACAGGGGCTTTGAGTTGTCACCCATAAGATACAGAAGTCGGACAGAAGACTTTTATCAAATTCAGTTATAAAGCCACTAGCAGTGAAAGTTTCACATGTAATTTTCTCTAAGAAGTTATATATATATATATGTATTTTGCCGGGACAAATAACTCATCTTCAATTTGTTCACGCAAGGACTCGAATTCTCTAAAAAGTACAACAGAATTATGAATTACATTCAATTTCGCTAAAGGTCATTGAATCAAGTCTCTATCAAGTTTCACCTTTCAAAATCTTTTTATGAACCAACGCATTGGAGACACATTTATTCAGGAATCAATTTAGCTCATACCCATGGTTTACAGTTGCGGTATCAATCGCGATATAACGGAATCGGACGAATATCAGTGTAAACCGATCGAATCGGCCCGTTCTTGGATAAAATTATCGAACTTTTAAAAAAGGATTACGAACCGCCGACACCTTGCGTATAAGTCGCGACCTATATATATATATATATATATATATATATATATATATATTGCGTATAATATTTGAAGGAAAGAGGGCAGCTTATGTTCTTTGTTACAGAAGTTGAATTTGAAAAATAAATTGGAAAAATGGTGTTAATGATGGTTTGTTGATAATCATTTTTAGTGTCATTTCCCTACCGCGTCAAAAACAAGGGGCATAATGTTGACGACAGAGGAAGGTGGGTGACCTAAATATATTATATCAAGAATTGCAAGTTAGTGAGTGCACTAACTTCATTGACAGAGTCAATTTGACGCATAAAATGAAGTGGTTTGAAAGAGACAACTACTATTTTATTCACCCATTTTGGGCTTGCAATGTCGTGGTTTTGTTTGGAAAAAAGGTGTGACTTCTTTTTCACAAAAGTCTAAATATAAACAATTCCAAAAGTTGCAGTTTGGCTACAAAACAACTACAATTTCTTTTTTCTTCTAGGTTCATTAGATCTGAATTTTAGAAATTATTAAATATTTGAGTCTTCTTGAACCTTTTTCATTTACCAACTACATGTTTGTCAATGGCTTCTATTTCGTATTTTTTGTTTGTCAATATATTGTCGCGAAGTGCTTCCGAAAAAGAAGTCAAAATTATCAGCAAAAAATTGATACTTCTGGTTGCTTCTAGTCAGGGGCGAAGTCAGGATTATATCTGAGGGGGGCATAATGTATTTGATAGAAAAAAAAAAAAAAAAAAAAAAAAAAAAAAAAAAAAAAAACTAACATGACACATATAATTTTTTTCATATCAAAAGGCAAACAATAAAAACAAAAAATTATAAGAAAATCACAAAATTTTTAAGGAGCAGTTTAATATTCTGGATCTAATTCATGAGATAGATTCATATGAAGTTGTGAACAGAACATAACTAAATTGAAATTACAAAAATAGATGATAGATTCATTTGAGCAAAATAAAATTGGGGTGTTTCCATATTCTATATAAAAAAATTTGAGCGTGTTTTACCTGCAAATTTAGAGAGAAAAAACTTGAGAAAAACTTGCAAATTGAGGGGTGAATCGATGATAGATTGATAGCAAAATAGAAGATTCATTCTGATTTCTATCTCTATCTTTCGATTCTCACCTTCCAATTTTGATTATGATGTTGAACTATGTAAATAGCAATTGCAGAAAATAAAATTGAAAAATGGAGCAAGGACAAGGGCGGAGAGAGCATGAATATTTTATTCAAAGATTTCACTGTTTTTATTCAGAATTTGATCAGCACACATACCAACTACAAATTATAATTCAGTATTCTTCTCTTCAACACTCAAACAAACCACTAACAATTGTCTTTCATTTTAGACTCTAACCCTATACATGACACACTACTAAATATTATCTTTCCCTTTAGCCCTTGCAAATTCTAGCATATTTTCACTTTAATTTTTCTTTTTAGTTAGTTTTATTATTTTTGAGGGGGGGCATTTTTTAACTTTCAAAACAAAATGCATATAATAATAAGGGGGAAAAAAATTTCAGGACGGGCATGTGCCCCCCTGGGCACATGCTCTGTAACGACCCAAAATGATACTAGTCATAATAAAAAATTCAGCATGACCTCTGCTAAAAAGGGTCCTACCACAACTTGTTGAAATGCATGAAAAAAATGTAATGGCCTCACTTAGCCATAACCAAATCTATCATGTCCCAACGCACAATGCAAATAATATAAAACATTCCCAAAACAACAATATACATATAAAAAGAGTCTCGTTTCTCCAATTCCTTCAAAAAAATATGGAAGCGCCAATCCACTACCTAGTCCCATCTTCCTTTACAAGGAACATACTCTAATTACATCAATTTACAGTCCATGAAATACAGTTGAAATCAAAGTCCATAATTTACAACATTATACAAATTATACTAAAGTTTTACAGAATAGTTAAGAATTACATTTACAAAATATTAAAGTTCTAAAACAAAAATAGCAAAATATAAATCTCCAATCCTGTCTAATCTTGTGGTGAATAGTCATCCGCCACCTCATTTCCGTGTCCTGAAAAATATTAATAATAAAGGGGTGAGCACAATGGCTCAATAGGAGGTGTCTAAGACACACCTCTTATGACCCCGTGAATCCAAACAAGGAATAGGAAAAAGAACCCGGATCATGCCATTTCTAAGAAAAAATATAACTACAACATCAACAACAATAATCCAAGTCATAAACGAACCATACCATGCCATGCAATGTCGCTCCCTATTTTTAAAACCTTTTCCATCATCATTTCCAAACCGTTAGTGTAACCCGTCCTATGACAATTCCATTGTAGCATAAGAGACGGATTGACTAACTGTCCCTTACCCATGGCAACTCTATAGCGTCATTTGGGGCTCAAGTAACTCAACCACGCTAGGAAAATCTCCCCAGTTCCCTCTAGGCCACACTAACGCCGCGGTCCCTAAGCAACTCCTAAGCAGCCAGATTTTTGCAAACCCTTTCAAAAAAAATTCCCCAAAACCTTTTTCATTCCATTTCAAAATAACTTTCCCATTTTCCTTACCCAATGCTTATGCATGAAATGCATCATGCCTTTTCATACCATGCCAATACTCATTTTCATACAATTAATTCAACTTAAGCCACATAGCATGCTTTACAAGTAAATAAAAAAATATATACATACTTTCATTCAACAATAATCCATCATGGTAAGCTTATAAAACATGAATTTTAGTCCATACAAGCATGTTCGATCACAACACATCATTCAATACATAATTAAACATTCCATATACAACATTTAAGCAATTTTTGCAAGAATTTATACAAATTAAATATGCTAGGTAACAATTTATACAAGATAATTCACAAAAGCACAAGAAGATTATGGATTAGAGGCCCTTACCTCACTTAGATGCAAAAACTCCCAAATGGGTCCAAAAATTCGAAATTCCTAGGGTTGGCCAAATGAGGAATTGCTTACATCAATGTGTAGATCTCATCAAGCTCTCCGTTTTGCCGCAAACGCACCCAAAAATTCACAACGGTTGATAATTAATCAAGCTTTGAAAGCTTAAGAAAAGAAAAAGAAAAAAATAGAGGGAAGGAAAGACTGCTGCGGGGAGAAAGAATAAGGGAGAGAAATGTGAGGCCAAAGTTGGCCTCTTGGCCACAAATATAATAGTGGTGGGTCCCACTTTAAAAAATATCTTTTCTTTTTCCTTTTTTTTTTTTTTTTTTTCTACTACCAATACACACACACACACATAATAATTCACAACCACACAAAACACATAAAATACAATAAATGAGGCGCAACTGGACACAAACAAAACTCCCGTATGCAACAATTCCAGTAGGGGGTCCCACACGGGACTTTCCGGTCTGGAAAACTGAAAAATGACGAAATGGCAACCCTTACATTTCAAAGAGTCTTGAAGTAAATGAAATGCCCCAATCAACTTTCGGATACACCCGGCACATTTCACAGTGTCTGGCACGCAAAACGAGAAAAGACGAAAATATTCTCGAAAAATCTAAAAATTCCAGAAAATGAAAAATGGCGAAAATCGGAAACATTACATTCTACCCTCCTTAAAAGATTTTGTCCTTAAAGAAGGAGACCACAGCCACACACTTTCCTAGAACACCTCACCAAACCGCAAAGCTAGGAACTCAACAACCTTATTGCCTTTGACACCAGACGCCAATCGGCAATCATACACTGCTATCAGAAAAACCCAATGCTCACCATCCTATAAAGGTGCTCATCACTCACCACATCATACACAAAACCCGCTGGATTCTACACTCAACTTAAAACCAACATTTGTGCCCTCTACACCGCTACACAAAGCTTCGGAGCCAAAAGAAAAATGGTCACATGACCCCTGAACATGACATTATCCTATCTCAACTCGTCCTTTAAAGGATACACTAGACTCCAACCAAAGAACCCCGTCCATTTTACAATCAAGCTCAAACTCAAATCTACGTGTCCCTGTCAAACCAATATTCGCCATCTAACACACAGCTACACCATCACATATCAGTACAAGCGACCACCAACCGCACCATACAACAATCATTATACTAGACAACTTCAAGAAGATAAAACAACAGATTTCCCAACGATTACATAATCATTAGTCAACAGAACAATAAAACGTACTATCCTGTATCTTGGACACAAATCCTCAAA